AAATATAAAGCAGCTTTATGGGCGTTATTATGTGTGTGTGTAATGTGTCCAACTGCTATGGCTTTTCGGTAAGCTCGATGGGCTGCGAATGTTTGGCGCCGTGATTATCGGCTCCATCCAGGTGCCATCGCCGCGTCCCTCCTGACCCACCCCCCGGCCGCCCGGCCCCCCGCCCCGACAACTCCGCGCGTCTCCCACAGAGAGCGCTTCTCTCGCGCAAGGCGTCGCGGCGTGCGGCTTCCCGGTAGGACGACGCGAAATTAACAATTCCGCTCGCGTCTCTCTCCCCCTCTCTCCCTCTCGCTCGCCACACAAAGGGGAGCGGCGGACTGGAGCTTGCGAAGGGAGCGGTAATCTCCCCCTCCCCCGCTCATCCTCCCCTTACCCCCCCCTCTCCCAACTACCCTCCCCCTCTTTCTCTCTCTCCAAACTACCTCCCTCGCTTACCCCCCCCTCCCGGCCACTCTTCCACCCACTATCCCCCCCCACTCCCTTCCAGCTAACCTCCCCCCCACGCGCCTCGTCCCCCACCCTATCCTCCCTCCCCCCCTCCTCCTCCTCCCCCCGAGATGCATCGACCACGGCTCCCGTGTTCGAGGCATCGAGACAACACAAAGACAACAACGCTGTTGCATACAGACGCGTACCGCGCAATGCACGCACGGAAAAAAGATACCCGTGTAGCCTTAAACTGTAGGGGCAAGTGCTGTTAGCGAGCACCTATGAAAGCCGGCACGGCACACGATGGGGTGGGTGGCCAACACCACGCCCGGCCGCCTTTGTCTCCCTAATAGAAATGGGGGTTTTTTGTGCACATAGCACCGGGTATTCAATTGAGGCCGAGTCAACCTAGGGGAGGCCCAGGACCGGTTCAGATAATCGTCACTGGTGTTGGCCATGAGCGGGAATCGAACTCGGGTCGCCGGGTTCGTGGTGCAGCGTAGCGCTAACCGCCGCACCGCACACATCCCGTACATTGCGCGTGTGTGTGTGCTTGCAAGTGCATTAAAACACAGACACACGCGCACGCTTGCAAGTGCATGTCTACTCACACATTACACAGCCATAATCATCACCATCACACAGCAACAGCACAAGTGAGCTGCCAAAAACACCCGGACGAGGCTTCAACAACTCAGCACTCGCCCCCCACCCACCACAACCCCTCTCCACCTTACCCGCTCTCAGCCCGCTCACTCAAACGTCCAAGCGAAGCGAGGACAAAGAATTATAACAAAAAGATTAACCCGCACCGCACACAACGACCGATTATCCACGGCCTCCAATTAGCACGGTTGGCTACGTGCGGTGCGAAAGAAGTTCGACATTCATAGCATATACATAACACGCGTACAATTACTCTCGCCACCGCCATCCTCACGGCGGGCTCCGTCATCCGCTAACTTCGCCCGCCTTTATCTCTCTACCCCCCCCCGGCCCCGGCTCCGGCTCGGAGCGCGCGCGATTCAGCGCGAGCAAAGCGATCGAACGAGCAGAGAGACACGCGGGGTACATGTACACACACACACGCACCCGTACATACAAACACGCGCCCGTACATACACACACACACACGCCCCCGTACATACACACACACGCGTACACACACACGCGCCCGTACACACAAACACGCGCCCGTACATACACACTCGCACGCACCCGTACACACACACACACACTCGCACGCGCGTGCACTGGGAACTGACCTGTCCGTTGAGTTTTTGGGGCGATGCCACCACCGCGTCTCCCACGGTTTCGCGGTTGCCCGCCTTGGACAACTGTCCGCCCATGCTTGCGCTGAACAATAGGCACGCTCGAGACGGCGAGAGGAGAGGCGCGAGAGAGAGCGCGCGCGGTGCGAGCGAGAAGATATTTGAGACAAAGGAAAGCGAGAGAGAGAGAGAGCGAGCGAGAGAGAGATGGAGACCTCTCTCCAGACAGCCGCTGCCGCCTGTAGCTTTGCCGGACAAAAAAAATATCTGTCGCCTCGTTTTTTTTTATTATAATGCGAGTAGCTCCCTCTCTCGCTCGCTCACTCCACCCACCACCTCCTCCTCCTCCAATCCGTATTCCACACCGCGTGGGGAGCGAGCAAAGGAAGACGCCCGACGAAGCGTCGGTCGCGGCGATTAACGAACAAGCAGCTGAGAGCGAGCGAGCGAGGGAGCGACACGTGTCGAATAAAACGAGGGGCGAAGAAAAGAGGAGGAACAGGCGCGAGAGCGAGGAGGAGGAGAGGCGGGGGGGGTGTCGCGGCGTGGGTGGTGGTGGAGTTGTCGGATGAAACTCTCCGGGAACGACAACGTCGAGTGGGCGACTGCGCTACCGCTGGTTGCTCTGCCGGTGGCTAGATGGGGGCGGGTGCGTGGGGAGTTAAAGGAAGAGGAGGCCAAGGGAAGTCGCTCTCTGTCGCTCCGGCTGCTGCTGCGCTCCTCCGCGCGCGCTCCCAGCTCCGATCTGCGCGACGCGCGCGCGCTCCCTCGACTCCCGGGGCGCGCGCGCGCTCCCCCTCGAGCGCGCGCGTGCGCGTCACAGGCACCCTCCCCTCATCCCGTCCCCGCCAGCCAATTAGGAGCCGCCTCGCGGTGGCGGGGAGGTGGGGGTGTGTGGCGGCGTTGGCGGCGCCGTGTGGAGGGGGAGGGGAAGGTGGCAGGGGGCGTGGTTTCGCATAAATCAGGAACAATGAGGAGGGGGGTGGGGCGGAGTACGGGGGAGGGGGGAGAAGGAGGACGTGGGGGGGAGGGTGGGGGGTGGAAGACGGGGGGAGATGGGGGAGGGGAGATGAGATTTCTTTTTTTCTCCAGAAAATGTTTTACGAAAAGAGAAACCGAGAGACGTAGAGGATGGTAGTGGAAGAGAGAGAGAGAGGAGGGATGGGCTGGGATCGTGGCTGGGTGGATGCGGCGAGACGAACGCGGGAGAGGAGATGAATTGAACTCCACCTCGCTCGGTTGCGCGCGATCCGTCGCCACTCATTGGCAGAGCCTCTAGCGCGCTCGTGAGTCGCGCTCGTGAGTCGCGCTCGTGAGTCGCGCTCGTGAGTCGCGCTCGTGAGTCGCGCTCGTGAGTCGCGCTCGTGAGTCGCGCTCGTGAGTCGCGCTCGTGAGTCGCGCTCGTGAGTCGCGCTCGTGAGTCGCGCTCGTGAGTCGCGCTCGTGAGTCGCGCTCGTGAGTCGCGCTCGTGAGTCGCGCTCGTGAGTCGCGCTCGTGAGTCGCGCTCGTGAGTCGCGCTCGTGAGTCGCGCTCGTGAGTCGCGCTCGTGAGTCGCGCTCGTGAGTCGCGCTCGTGAGTCGCTCGTGAGTCGCGCTCGTGAGTCGCGCTCGTGAGTCGCGCTCGTGAGTCGCGCTCGTGAGTCGCGCTCGTGAGTCGCGCTCGTGAGTCGCGCTCGTGGCAACTAGCGATAGTCGCGCGCGTGCTGTGAGCTCGATTCGTTATTGGACAAAGCACCGACCATCCATGGCACACACCGCATACGTTGCGCGCCCACCGCTCGCACGCGTCTTCACGCATTCGGCCACCCACCATCCGATGCGCGCGTGCATTTGCAATCCTATCTATACACCCACCCATCCAAAATCCCATGCCATCCACTCATCACCCATCTTCCACACATCAACCCAACATCGTCTCGCCCGACTCCCAAAAACCCAAAAACCACACACGCCAACTCCACCCCCTCCCTCTCACCATCGTCTCTCCCTCCACCTCCCTCCCTGCACCCCGCCCCTCCTCCCTCACCTCATCACCATCCCACCCCCCTCCCGTTCTCGCATCCCCCTCGGCGCGTCCCTCCCCCTCCTCCCCACGACCTCCTCCTCCTCCCCCCGCGAACCCGCGGTCCCGTTTAAGAGCGACGTGTTGGGTTCTCTCGTTCCGTGTCTCTCGGTCTGTCGCAGCGCCTCTTGCTCTCACCCCGCCGTCTCCCGTGTCTCCGCGGCGTCTCACCACGTGTCCCCCTGTGTCCCTGCATCGCTCCCATCGCATCCTCATCCCGTCATTCAACGTCTCTCCCATCGTTGTCCCTCCGTATATTTACGTGTCATGGTCTCGGTTTGTATATCTCCGTCGCTTGCTGTATCCACTGAATCGCACTCTCTGTCTTTACGTATTGTTCTGTGTCTCTCCGTGCGCGTCCTTGTCTCTCTCTCTCTGGGTCCATGTCTCCGTGTCTTATCACGTCTCTCATTCGTCACTCCACTGATTCTCGTATTCCCGTTCACCCCCCCCCTCCCTCTCTCCCCGTCTCTGACCGTCGTCTCTCCGCGTCTCTCCTTTCCAGCGCCCGATGGAATTCGGCGTTCCGAGTCAACACGGAGAGAGTACGGCGACTATGAGCGGAGTCTGTGAGTGAGAGAGCGAGCGAGCGAGAGAGAAAGTGTGAAGGAGGCAGAGGGAAAGAGCGATCCGAGAGAGAGAACCCAGGGAAAGCGAGAGAGTGGGGCAGAGGGTCTCGGATTGCGTTCAAGTGACGCCGCGGTGGCGAGATGTCATCACCATCGCCTGGTGTACAGGAGGTCGTCGGTTCGATCCCGACCCTGACGCCCGCTGTATATTTGGAGTTTGCATCTTCTCCCCGTGGATTTTTCTCCGGGTCCTTCAGGTTGTTTCCTGCGCATTAAGAATCAACATCGCGCTTTGAGAGTATTTGGCTGCAAACAAAAAGTGTTCACGTGATGACAAAGCCACTTCGCTGAGCTATCATCTGTGGTCACGTCGCTTCTGAAAAAAAAGAGTTACACAGCTCAATGTGGCCTTTAACTGGTAAATTGTGTTAGTTTAGAGACGCGAGGAGAAATAGTCAGGGATGGAGAGATGAGAGGGCGGCAGGGAGAGAGATAGTGTGGAGGGATTCACTAGGATGGGGAGTCGCGGATAGATGGAGAGCAAAGGACCCTGACGAGAGGGAAGATCCCAGGGAGAGAATGAGAGAGGGAGATGGAGAGGGGGCGACTCTGCGAGAAGGATCCGGAGAGAGAGAGAGAGACTGGTCAGGGTGCCGGCGAGAAGTGGATCCATGGAGAGAATTTGCGTGTCATCCTTGCGCAGGGGCCATGCTAATCTTCTCTGTGTCGTTCCAATTGTAGTAGATGTACTGCCGGAGCAAGTACATGGAGAGAGGGGGCAAAGGGAGTCGGAACCCAGGGAGGGATTGAGACACTGAGATCCTGAGAGTGAGAGATAAGCGGGTGAAGTGAGAGGGGCACAGCGAGTGAGAGAGACGTTTTACTTTTAAAACTTTCATTGCTGCCAGCAGCAATAGCACTGAAGCCGATTTCAGCGAGGTGAGAGAGCGAGGCAGAGAATGAGAGTGGCAGTGAAAGTGGCAGTGAGAGTGAGTGAGAGGCGGGGTGAGGTGAGATAGAGAGAGTAGCAATGAGATCGAGAGTGACGGGAGAGTAAGGGAGAGGCAGAGAGGGTGAGAGCAGGCAGGACGAGAGAAGCTGGCAGGGTGACAGGGGGTACGGGTCGGGGAGCTGTGAAGTGAGGGGAACACGGATCCATAGCGAGAGAGAGAG